CGGTGCGGGCTGGCATGTGGTGCTGGGGATTGAACCGCGGTCCCTGTGCTTTGCTTAGCTTAGTTTGTTCTAAGTAGGTGCTTTAGACCACTGAGCCATTTCACCAGCCCAGCCCAGGCTGGTCTTGAACTCACCTCAGTCCTCTTGTCTCAGCCCAGCAACATATTGGGCTTACAAGCATATACCACCACAATGGTGGGAATTGGTTTAGCACCCAAAAAACTAGTATGATGTTCTCTTGGATTCAGTCTATACCACTGAGACACACAGGTACTATCAGCTCATTCATTCACGCCTAAAACATTCATGTCCACTAGGGGTCACTTGGATGGCACCTCCTCTTGCCTTGTCTGGGCTTGGGTTTGTGCTTTGCACAATGGGCATTCTGACTTCACGAGAGTACTAAGACATAGCTGTTCCTCAGTTCTAAGCTCAGACTAACTTCTGGAAGGGGAGATTTGTCTTGAAGATTGTCAGTCCAGCTTGTGTGTAGGGGAAGTAATGGAGATTACAGGTTGTATCATTGCCCACAGCGAGTAGATTATGCCTTGGAAGGCTTGGGGAGTTTGGTTGGCTAGAGACGTATCTAGCCCAGTGGCCCTCAAATTGATGTGGACATTAGAATCACTGGAGGAACAACAACTGGACAAAAATAAAAACCAAAATTAAAACAAATAAAAGCCCATCTACATGTCTGGAGCCAGCCCAGATCAGTTAAGATCAGAACTGCTGAAGACAAGGCCAAGAAAATACACCAGGCTGTATTTCCGCGAGGAAAATACTCCAGCGCCTTCCCCCAAGGCGACTTCAGCGCAAGCTGAGGTTCAGATGCATGCCCCTGGTTCTGACGCAGTGCGTCTCTGTGGACAGATGCATTCTCAACAAGGCGAACATCGCAAGCAGCAAGCGGTCTTGGGGCTGAAGCCCTCCTCCACCCAGCCCGCCCGGCCTCAGGAGCTCCTGTGTCCTCGGTCACAGCTCAGCGTGGGGCTGTGCAGCGCCTTCCACATGAGCAGCATCTGGTAAGGTGCAAAGCGGTGCACGAGCAGTAGCTCCCGGTACATGCAGGGGTCGAAGGCGGAATGCTGCACTCCGGGGAGCCGCACGCCGTAGGGCCGGATGCCCTCATGGCCGCTGGGCTCCAGGTGGACCTGCTGCAGGCACATGCCCAGGTAGGCGTCGTCGATGGGGAACAGAGGTGTGTGGCGCGCAGCCACGCGCAGGGCCTGGGCCGTGTGGCTGGACAGGAGGAAGCCACCGCCGCTGCAGTACGCCGGGTAGACCTCCCCGGGGAAGAGCTGCGGGGGCACAAAGTACTTGTTCCAGCTCTCACGGACAGGCACGGAGCCGCGCATGAGCTGCCCGGTGAAGAGATGGCGGTCGGGCGACTGCGCCTCCAGGAAGCGGAGCACGTTGGCGGTGTGCACGAAGACGTCGTCGTCGCAGCTGAGCAGGAAGCGCGCACGCGGGCAGCGCACCGCCAGCCACTCGAGCAGGTGCAGGTGCTTGAGCGTGAGGTTGAGGAAGGTGTCGGTGAAGGCCCACTGCAGCACGTCGCCGTGCTCGCGCGCCTCCAGGCCCACCAGCTCTGCCAGCTGCGGCGCGCCCGCAGCCTCCTGGGGGTCCGGGGTGCCCAGCAGGAAGAGGCGGCGCACCGGCCGCCCGCGGTCGCTGCGCTCCTGGCCCCACGTGCGCCGGATGAGCTCGCGGCGCTCGTAGTTCGCGGGCGCCGACTTCACGGCCAGGAGCAGGAAGACAGCGTGGCGGCCTGCGCACTTGGACGGCGCGTCCCAGAGCAGCGGGAACTGCCGGCAGTGCCGGTACCGCAGGAAGTCCTGGATCCTCGCCGGCAGCTGCTCGAAGCCGGCCACGCTGTTCGCCGAGGCGTTGGCCACGCACGGGCTTTCGGGCGTCAGAGCCGAGAGCTCTGCGGCAGCAGTGGGGACATCAGTGGAATCTTCCTCCTCCTCGGGCTGGGACTGAAATTGTTGGAGGAGCAACAGGCGCAGTGCCAAGAAGCTCGTGCCCAGCAGCAGAAAGGTCACAGCCTTCAGATTCATGGACCTGCGGCACAGAAAAGCCATCTGCGGGGAAACCAAGTCAGAAGTGAACTGGGAGTCGTCTTTGCTAGCCGAGGTAAAAAGGAACCAAATTCAAGACTATGCTGAGGTATCTCAGGTCCGCAGTCAGGAGGATTCTTTTAAACTGCAAAGCTGTGATTCCCCTTATGTCGCCTGGATGTCACCTCAGCCAGCAGATTCACATCCAAAGTCAGTCTCCATCTTGCGGTGAGTTCCTTTCATCTCTTTTTCTTACCACAGTGAACAGTGCCACCACTCACCCAGTTCCTCCAGCTTGTCCCCCTCACACCCTTTGACTGCATCATACACGTCTCTCAGGTTTATTCCCTTTTCCCCATACCTGTCCCTCCTGGATCTTCTCTAATCTGTTCCCCTCGTTGAGGTGAGGGACATAGGAGGTCATAACCCTGGACAGTTTTGGTGACACTGCCTAGCACTGCGTTACCTGACCCAGTGGGTCTGAGTGTTCTGTTCTTAGGCACAGCTTAGCAGATTGCTACTCCTCAGGGCTGTAAGCATTACATGAGCATAACACGGACCCTGAATGACTGATACCAACATTGTCACCTTTTGGCATCCTTCAGTTCCACTTGCCTCTACTGTGACTGCCTGTATTTCTTGCTGTTCCTCACACCTGTAAGGTCACACTCTCTCTTGTGTGTAGCCTGCCCAAGCGCACCCCAAGTGTGGGCTTCACGCAGACTCCCCAGGATGGCACACGCTTGTAATCTGTGAAGTCAAGAGGTGGAGGCAAGAGGACTGCTGCGAATTCACAGCCAGCCTGGACTACATATTGAGACTGTCTCAAAAAACCAAGCCAAGCCAAAACCCAGGACAGGTCCTAGATCATACCAACCTTTTTTATTATCCTGTTAAACGTACTTGGTCATACTGGCTTGTCATGAACATACTTCTTTCTCCATTTCATGGATCCCACACTCTCTAAAGTTAAGACCTTTAGGAGTGAAATCTCCAGATACTCCTTTCACCTTTGTTCAGCATGACCCCTCTCTCTCCTGGGACCCTCAAACCCCAAAGTCAGACACCTGTTACTTAGCAGCCCCTCCCCACTGTGTTCAAGCCAAAAGCTTTGACTTCCTCCTTTCTGCACCCAACCCACAGTGCTGAAATTTCTTTCTTCTTTCTTTCTTTCTTTCTTTCTTTCTTTCTTTCTTTCTTTCTTTTTATATTGGAGGATGGGGTTAAACCCAGGGTCTTCACAGCAAGCAGCATCCCAAGCCTTTTGTTATTTTTGAGTCAGGGTCTTGCTAAGCTGCCCAGGGGGAACTTCAACTTGCAATTGTCCTGTCTCAGCCTCCCCAAATGCTGGGATTACAGGTATGTATCACTGTGCCCAATTAGGCCTGGTCACCAATAATTACTAAATATTTTTTAACCTATACAGTTCTACTCCATCAGTAGGTTAACCCAAGCCAGCCTTTCCTGCTCAGACAAGAGAGCCTCCTGCCTGGTCTCTTCTCCCCTTGTCTCCCCTCAACCTTGCCCTCTGTGCTGCAGCTCGAGGGTTTAGACAGGGCAGATGTATATGGCATTTCTTTTTCCCCAGCTTCCTTGGGAGCCCCCTCTCTTAGCCATCAGCCAGTCAGAAATCATAGCTGTCAAATGCTAAGACTCTTCCTTCCCTGGAGTTTTTTCTTGTGCTGTTCACCTGCCAGGACACACACACACACACACACACACACACACACACACACAGCCTAGGTAGTTTCCTGTTTGATTCGCTTGATTTTTTTTTAGACAGTACCTGTGCCTTCCATTCTGGAATTAAATTTGCGATCCTCCTGCCCCAGCCTCCAGAGAAGCCAGGATCATAAGGCATGTGTCACCATACCTGGCTCCTTGGTCCACTTGAAGGGCATATCCTTATGGAATCTTTAGTGACGCTCAAAGGAGACCAGGTGCCCTGTTTGCCATTCCCGAGTTATCTCCTTACCTAGTCTATCAGCTCCTTGAGGTCAGGGGTCACATCTGTGCTGTCCACTATTGGATTCCCAGTGCCATGCACAACACAGTGGGGCAAATGTTGGTTTCCCAGATTTGAATTCTAATTCTATGACCTCTAGCTACATGCTTGAGCAAGTTGATGTCCAGTGGTGGCAAACCTATGTCACATGTCATAGCAAGCTGTTTATTTGAAAACTCTAAATGGCTCACCATCACTGAAGCAGGCTTTAAAATTTTTTATGTATTTGATACAGGGTCTCACTAGGCAGCTCAGACTTGTACTGATCCTTGTTTTCAGCCTCCCCACTGCTGGAATTACAGGCATGCACCACCATGCCTAGCCTCGGTTGCTGGCTAAGCATGTCCAGCGGTGGGGCTGGTGTGGCATGCTGTACTGGGGATTGAACCCCAGGCCTGTGCTTGCCTAAGCAGGCGCTTAGTCTGCTGAGCTATCTTGCCAACTCTTGAAATAGGCTCTTTAATACCTACCTCTTAAGAGTTTTTGTGAAGACTAAGTGGTAGTGTGTATAAAGAATGTGGGCTGGGCATGTTACTGCACACCTACAATCCTGGTACTCTGGGGGGCTGAGGCAGGAGACTGGAAGTTTAAGCCCAGCAGGGACAGTTTAGCTACTTTGTGAGCCTGTCTTTAAAATAAAAAAGGGGAAATCTAGAACATGGCGCCAGAGAGGGTGTGGAGCTGGGCCCTCTCTGCCTTCAAGCTGTGTGGCTTGCCGTTGTGAGGTTGGTAGCTGCAGCCCACATTCAAGGGGAAGGACTGGCCAGCAGGTATGAGTACCAGGAGGTATGGATTTGCTAGAAGTCTGCCTGTCAGAGAAGCTATTAAGTGCCTCACAGAAGCTCTGCAGTCTATCAATGAATTAGAGCTTGAAGATACTCTGGAGAAGATCATTTATGCAGTTGAAAAGCAGCCCTTGTCATCAAACATGATCGAACGACCTGTGGTGGAGGCTGTGGTCCAGGAGTGCAGTCAGTCAGCTGAGGATACGCTAGATGATATTTTCAATATCATAGGAACTTTTGATATTCCATGCTTTGTGTACAATTCAGAAAGAAAAAAAATTCTCCATCTATTAATGACCAACCACCCTGCACCAAATTTATTTGGAAGAGCAAGAGATAAAGCAGAGCTGTATCGTGAACGATACACCATTTTGCATCAGAGGACCCACAGACACAAATTATTTACTCCTCCAGTGATCGGTTCTCACCCTGATGAAATGGGAAACAAATTCCAGCTTAAAACAATAGAAGCTTTACTGGGTAGTACAACCAAGATCGGAGATGTGATTGTTCTTGGAATGATAACCCAGTTAAAAGAGGAGAATTTTTTTTGGAAGATCCTATTGGAACAGTCCAACTGGATCTTAGTAAAGCTCAGTTCCATAGTGGTCCATACACAGAGGTGTGCTTTTTCTTGGCAGAAGGTTGGTTTGAAGATCGAGTGTTTCACGTCAGTGCTTTTGGGTTTCCACCCACTGAGCCCGTGAGTACTACCAGGGCATACTATGGAAATATTAATTTTTTTGGAGGGCCTTCTAATACATCTGTAAAGACTTCTGCAAAATTAAAACAACTTGAAGATGAAAATAAAGATGCCATGTTTGTGTTTGTATCTGATGTCTGGTTGGACCAAGTAGAAGTGTTGGAAAAACTTCACACAATGTTTTCTGGTTATTCACCAGCACCTCCAACCTGCTTTATTCTGTGTGGCAATTTTTCATCAGCACCATATGGGAAAAATCAAGATCAGGCTTTGAAAGATTCCCTAAAAACTTTGGCAGACATAATATGAGAATATCCAAATATTCAACAAAGTAGTCATTTTGTATTTGTACCTGGTCCAGAGGAGTCTGGATTTGGTTCCATCTTACCAAGGCCACCACTTGCTGAAAGCATCACTAATGAATTCAGACAAAGGGTATCCTTTTCTGTCTTTACTACTAACCCTTACAGAATTCATTATTGTATGCAAGAAATTATTGTCTTTCATGAAGACTTAGTGAATAAAATGTGCAGAAACTGTGTCCATTTTCCTAGTAGCAATTTGGATATTCCTAATCATTTTGCAAAGACTATCTTCTCCCAGGGTCACCTGACCCCGCTGCCTCGTTATGTCTGCTCCGTATACTGGCCATATGACTATGCCTTGAGTGTATCCTGTGCCCGATCTGCTTGTGACTGCAGACAAATGTAATCCTTTCACTGTGACCAATACTGAATGCCTCTGCATAAATCTGGGCTCTTTTCCAAGAAGTAGATTTTCATTCAAAGTTGCTTACCTTTCCAGCTTTTGATTCTTAAAGGCATCTGAAGAAAAAGATGAATGTTTTCTACTTTATATCTATGTAATTCCTACATTATAAAATTACAGTGGAAAAAATAAAATAAAAAGGGGGGTGGGAGAGCAGGTCTGCAAATGTAGCTCAGTGTGAAGGCCCTGGGTTCAATCCCCAATACTGCAACAACCAAAATAAATGGTCTAGTGCTTGGCATATAGTAAGTGTTCAATGATAGCTATTAATGGCTATAAAGGTGCCAATAAATAACTGCTGAATGGCTACTTTCCCCAGAGTAGTCATTTGTATTAAATTGGATCCTGCTGTGCTCAGACGCACATTCAAGAAATACTTTCAGAACTCGTAGTTTGCATGGAGTAGGTGTTGCTGGATTGGATGGTGCGCCTGTGCGTGCATATTACAGTCCACCACAACACTGAGCTCAGAGTGAGCACAGATTAGGAGTTTGTGAAGAAGGGCAGCAAGTTACCAAGATGAAAGGGAGGGACCCAGGGTGATAGCTCAGTAGAATAAGCACATGCCTGGTAAGTTCAGGGTCCCAAGTTCAATCCCTAGTACTTAAAAAAAAAAAAAAAGGGAGAAGCCTGGAGATGTGTTCGGGCCCTCACTGTGTTACTGTGCCTGGCCCACTTCAGGGAGGCAATAAAGAGTTTTCAATAAATGGAAGAATGAAAATTGAATTTGGAGTCTGAATAACTGGGCTTGTGTTTCAGTTCCTTTCCTAAGTTAACCTCCTAGGTTTCAGTCTTCTCATCTAAAAAATTGAGAAAGTTAATATTCATCTCTCAATAATGTAAGAAAATAATTTTGTAAATGTCAGTGTTTAGGAATGCTGGTTAAAAAAATTTCTCCCCACCCCAAATCATTTCAAGAAAAAGAATAAACTCAGGCTTAATGTAACAATAGATCTTGTTACAAGGAAACATACAGTTACTTCCATAAACCTGAGCCGGGAACCTGGATCCTAGCCAACTTCTGATAGATAGGAAGAGAAGGTGTAGGGCCAGGTCTGTTCTGAGGGTGGTGCTGGCTTACTCAGCTCTATTCTTGGGTGCTGGGCTGTGCAGCCTGAAAGCTTTGACTTGCTGAGAGGTATTAAGCATCTTCTTGGTAGCTTTTTCCTGCTGGCCCCCCATCTGCTCAAAGCCTTCTTCCAGGTGCCCGGCCAGCTGCACCGGAAACTTTGCTATCTCTGCTGGCCCTGATTCCTCATCTCTCAGGACTCAACTGCAGCACCACCATGTTCAGGCAACCTCCTGGTAAGTCCAGGTCAACAGATCCTGTCACCTTGTTGGCACAGTGGCTGCTGAACTGGTGAACTAGTTGGTGAAAGAGGACAGGCCTGCCACTGAAATGACCTGTTTGAGCTGAATCTCAAGCTCTTTGTGAGACTGTAGGCAGGTTATTTATCTCAATCTTTCATGATTCTACGAATTAATTTGTGTAAGGCACTTGAGAGCTATACTTGGCACATAGCAAGTACTACAGTAACGATAGAGATCAGTTTAGAGGGACCAATAAATCACCTTTTTATGGGTGAGTTCAGTCTTCTTATACAGTGCAGTGTAAAGCTCCTCTGTGGTCTCTGACTGCAGGTCTTTCTCACTTCATTTATTACTCTACAGTTTATGATGCTATTTCCTCTACCCAGAATTTCTCTTTTTTTCCCAGGACTTACCTTGCTTATTTCATCTTGGTTGATGGTCCGATGATTGGGATGCAGATTCTTGGGCCATTTCCCAGCCCCATACTATCCCCAGGCGTTCTTGGGGGAGTATTTGCACAGCAGATACAGCAGGCAAACAAGGTTTTATCTCCTGTGTGGCCAACATGAAGCCCTAAGCCCTGGGGGCTGTGCTGGACTACTCCATGTAGTACTGGGTCCTGGTTCTGTTCCCTTTGACCTCCCTCTAGTTCTAGCTTAGTGCTTGAAGAAGAGAGTGCGGAGAAGGAAAATTATACCTCTTTCCTAATAGGCAGAAACCCAGGCAGGCCCTCATCTTACCTCGAATGTGTGAGACAGAAGACATAGACAGGAGCCATCCCCAGACTGGGACTAACTCCTTGGTTCTCACACTGGGGTTCCGCCTCCCAGACTGTGACTAGTTTAGTATTCTTGCATCTGACCAATCCATGCTTTCACTCCTCCTCCTCAGGGGGAAGGCAAAGATGGTGAGGGCAACCCTGCCTCCTTAGCCAATAATCTTAGCCAGTCTTATAAAGTACTTGCTTACTTTATAAGATTAAGTACTGTGGTAGTTTCTTCTAGGAGACTGATCCTCCTAGTTACTTGACTGCTGTGCTTTAGAGAGACACAACCGGATTGAAACAGTGAATGCTGCCCTGTAGTGATTTGGTTTTCTTGCTAGATCCAGAACTACTCCTAGTATAGGACCCATTTTCTTTTTTTTCTTTCTTTTCCTTTTTCTTTTTTCTATATTTTAGGGAAGGGTCCACAGTGTGTTTAGGGTCTCACTACCAGATCAGATTCGCAGTGATTCTCCTGTTTACACCCTCCCATGTACTGGGATTACAGGCGCATTACAGGTGCGTGCCACCACGCCCAGTCTCAGTCACCAGCTGAGGGGGCCCCAGGGGCCAGGCCAGCACAGCAGGCCGAGGGTCCGATTCAGCAAAGCTTGTAGGCATTTTAAACCGCTGAGCTATTTGGCTGGCCCCGATTTTCTTAAATGATATGCTTTGAAGTCTTTTGTTGAATAAACTGCATGTAAAATGTTCACATAGGACCTCGGGGAAGGGGGTGTGCGAACCAGGGAGACTTTGTGCCAGAACTGCACAGCATTAGCTATCTGCTGCTCGGGATGAGGTTCTCTACAATTTAGTGGCTTAAAACAGCCACCACACATTTCTCAAGATCCTGTGGGTGGTTTGGGAGATTCTTGTGCTGGCCCCAAGGAAGAATAGAAAATAAATAGAGGTAAAAAGGAGACAAAACCATAATTTAAAAATAAAACTGAACATTCAGTATATAAGCCATTTAAAAAAATTTTTTTTTCTTTTCTCCCAAGAAACAATAAGCCTATTATGTCACTGAGACACATACCCAACAGCAATACATAAAAGAGCAAAGATTTATTTTGATTCAAGTCCTTGTCCACAGTCAGCTGGCTCCAAGGCATGGCAGTGTGGCAGAGGGACGTGGCAGAAGAGGACTGCTAATGGAGTAGCAGGCAGGTAGAAGAGCACTCAAGGAGGGAGGAGAGACCCTTCCAGGCCATGCCTTGGTGACCACCTCCTCCAGCCAGGCTTCACCTTCCAAATCACATCTAGCTACAAACTCATCAGTGGACCCATTCACGCAGGGGTATGATCCAGTCAGCTCTCAAAAGCCCCACCCATAAGCACAGGAGACTTTGGGGGGACACTTGGGCAATCTCCTTGTACTTACAAAGGACTTTTGCCTTTCCGGTTTTTTTTTTTTTATCTAAAAATAGGCCTCTTTCATTTGTTAATAGACTCTTTTCACCTGCAAAACAGACCCTTTCCTAAAGCCGAGCTATGGCTCTATCACCACACTGTTGTTCCCTATGATTAGATCATCTCTCCCTGCAAAAGAGTGATCAACCTTCATCAGTAAGTTGACTCCTGTTTCCGAAAACTCATAAGTACTATAGATTTACCCCCAAATCTCCCACAAATATACTCGGGTCCAGACTATGACACTGCTCTCTTGAGGGCTGGTACTCTGTATCAAGTGTATGCTCCTATAGTTCTGCCTTAAGCCAGGCATGGAGGCACAGCCTATAATGCCAGCATTTGGGACGCTGAGGTAGGAAGTCCCCACAAATTCGAGACCAGTGTAGGCTACATAGTGGGTTCAAGGCCAGCCTAAACTACATAGTGTAAAGCATTACTTGCATTTTGAACTCATTGAGGTCATTTTCTGCAAATTAGCAACAGGGTGCTCCAGACTACTCATTATTTTAAAAATTACAACCTTAAGCCCTCATGTCTGGGAATTCCTCCTAAGATGGGTGAGTTCTTTTTATAATTGCCCTTAGCAAGCAGGACATAGTATTTGTGTAGATTAAGCATTAATAACCTCAGAATGTGTTAAATTGTAGTAACCTAAGTCAGAGTGATTTATGTTGATGTATATGTACCTAAGACAATCAGCCTCTATATAATAGGCGATAATTAAGTTTAGGCCTGACTCCCTGTCGATCCTTGTAGGAATGTAGCTGATTTATCTGGATATTGTACTCAATCTATGGTCAAGTTAACCTGTGAATTGTGCCTGTATGCCTTGGTAGGTTATGATTAATTTTAAAATATGTATACGTGCTGAGAGTAGTTTCTGCTTTAAAACCCTGTTTTCTGCCACTGCGCGCTTCTTTGTCTTCTCTCCTGCGTGAGAAGTCAGGAAGGCCCTGAGCTCAGCGTTAAAGGCTCATTTTAAATTCTCAATTTGAAAAATAAATAAATAAATAAATAAATTCTCAATTTGGACTCTGGTCTGGCTTCTGTTTGAGAACCCATAACACATAGTAAGACCCTGTTTCCCCCACCCCACCCCATCAAAGAAGAAAAATTTTGCCTAATAAACCCCTTTATCTCTTTTACTCACATGTCCTGAAAATTCTTTTTGTATGATGGAAGTCAGTGAACTTACAACCTATTCCATAGACAGAATGGTTAAGGTTCTCCATCACCCACCGGGAACCCCTCAGTGCCCTGTCCTGTGATAGATCCACCTGGACTTGCTCATGTGACCATCCACATTCCACTGGCAGTAGATCAGGGCTGGTGCAGCTGGGCTGGCTGGGCCTCCCGTGCCTGTACTGTCATCCTGGGCTGCTTCATGGTATGGTGCTAAGAGGGTCTTGAGATGCTGTGACCTGGGCTGCAGAACTTGTATCCATCACTAGTGTTACCTTGGGTTGAGGTCTGGGGACGGGTTTCTGAATTCTTTGGCATGCCTCAAAAGAACTGCACATAGCATACAATGACAAGGAAACAGTGGCAAAGTTGATTAAGATGAGATTATGCTCAGAGTGGGTAGGCTTGGGGCAGCAAAAGGAAAATGGCATAGGTGCTGAGAACTTAGGGTGCACAGGTTTAGATCTCCTACCTCTTTTAAGGTGCCCGCTACCTCCGGAGCATGATCAACAGAGTGCTGAGTCATGCTTACTGTGTCTTTTGTGCATGTTTTTTTCCCTCATACTTCACTGTTATAATTGTATAAGATGCAATCCATATACATGGTCTTTCAACGAGTATGGGGGGAAGAGTTACCATGCACTGTGTTCTACAGCATGAGCATCTTGGTTTGGATGTTTTGGAATTTTCCTGACTTGTTTGGGGTCTGTCACCTTTGTCTCTAGTACCCGTGGTAAGGCCTAGGGCACCACCCATGTTCTGGTGAGGAGTGCTCCCCAAGGAACTACGGGGGCCAGTTCCATGGCCTATGATGGTTGTATCTATATTACTACCTTGTTTCTTGGCACCTCACCCAGGTGCCAAGGTGGGTAGTTCCACAGATTCGGGGCCATATTTACCCTATCACATGGATCTTAAACATGGTAAGTTTTCCTAGCAGGCAAAAGGTATAAAGAGGGTGAGGACATGCTGAGGTGTGCTACACAGAAGGAATAAATGAGGTGTATCTGGGCAACATTCAAGGTTCAGTATAATTGGAGGGATAATTACTGGGAGCAAAGGTGCAAAAATTGATTTATAAGTACCCTGAAAATGAATTTCATACATGGAGTTTTAATTGATCCTTTGAAAATTCTCCCAAGTGTTTGTGTATTTTTGAGTCTATAGTTACCTAGTGTGGTGATGCATACCTGGAATCTCTGTGTTTTGGAAGACTGAGGCAGGACCAAACTCAGAAGCCTAACGAGATCCTATCTTTAAAAAAGCGGCTAGAGATAGCTCAGTGTCAAAACTGCATGACCCAACCTCTAATACAAGGATAAAAAAGTCCACTGTTGCATGCCACCTTGGAGGCTGGTACCCCAGGGTAGAGGTGAGGCAGGGGAAGGTTGTGGCCAAGGCTTGACTGGGCAGCAACTGTCAGAATGTTGGGAGGGGATCAGAGCTTGGTGGCTTAGTGGGTATTCTGTGGGAATATTCACTTCTCAGCCTCCCTGTGATTAGAGGGCTGGCGGGGGGTGGGGGTTTTTTTTTTTTTTTTTTTTGGCAGAACTGGGGATTGAACTCAGACCCTTGTGCTTGCCAGGGAAGCGCTTATTCCACTGAACCATCTCCCTGACCCTGGGAGTGTAGGTTTCAGGTAGTATAAAATGGGTCTAGAGGTTAAGGAAGCCTGAAAACTTTTTGGTGACCTCACTGTGGTTGAAGATGAAAAAAGTTGGCAGCCTTATTAAATCTAGGAGCAACTGAGCATGAGACAGCAGGCTCATGAGAAAATTCACTGGGGATAAGCTATTAGAATGCAATGAAGACTTTAGGAGAGACACCTGTGCCCTCTTTAGGCCACTTCTGCAGTGCTAGGGAGGAACGGAGAGAGGGTGTGAAAGAGCAGTTTTGGAAAGGTATGTACTGCACTATTCAGAGGCAGAATTAAGGCAACTCTGCCTTTCAGCTGTCTCCTCTTCAGTGAGAGTTAGAAAGTATTGGTCCAATGTCTTTTCTGCTACCTTAGTGTGAAAAATGAGGGTGGGATAAAAGAACTTGTCCCCACATCCAAAAGTTGTGTGGGCACAGGCCAGTACTCCACCAAAAGGAAGACAGGCAAGTTGCTCCACGTTGCGCTGGTTAGCGAGAGCAATCAAGAAGAGTGGCCGACTCCTCACACAGGCCCAGCAGTCTTGAGGTATGCCTGGCAGGCCCAAGCGAGGCTTTCTTCCAGGAAGAATCCTGTTCAGAAACTATTATAATTAGGTTCAGGCTATCCTATGGTACCAAATTTTGTGACAACCCTACATTTTACAGATGTAGAGTCCAAATTTACTTATGGTCATAACCACTGTGTAACTTTTCAATAGTGGAGCAAGATCCTAACTCAGGTCTTCAGACACTCAACAATGAAAAGATGTATCTGTCAGTCCCTGTCAGGACTAATGCCA